GATAAAGATCTCACATGGTTGGTAATGTAATGTCCTCAAACGAGTTACTCAGATTTGGTAGCATTTTTGAAAATGAAACTGTTAACCGCAGGGTGATGTACTCGATGGTTTTCGAAACATTTAAACGGATAATATTTCCTTTGTCCCCTAGTCAGATCCAGTGACTATTCACATGGGTTTCCTGTCCGGGACACACATAACGACATGATTATAGGTATTTTCGCATTTAACTCACAGTTACTTGTGAGTAGTGGTGTGGAATAATTGATATTTATTGATTTGAACTGCCTATCCTTCGAATTTCACCTTCACGCACAATCCTCAGTTCATCGATTCAACAATAGACTCGGAAGCACTAGACTCGAGTTTCGCTCTTATCAGAGCTCATCAGTAGTGCATATCCACCGTCCCGTCCGGGATTTGGACTCCGGACTTATCGCATAGAAGGCGTGTGCGTTACCACTGTGTCAACCAGCTCGTACCATGGCTGAACCAAATTGCCAATTCATGTTTGTTCAGGTGTCGTCTTGCGTGATAGTCAGTTCATTTGGCCAGTTCAAATCAATAAATATCAATTATCCCACACTACTACTCACAAGTAACTTTAAGTTGAATGCGAATTATCAATCCAGCCTTGTTGGTTCTTTGGTGAATCAGCCCGTAACCTGCATGGAAGTCCCGACTTGGTGAGTGGCTTTCGATTGGAGTTAACAGATTGTGATCTGTGTCTCCCTTCGTTGCTGTCGGGCCAAATGAACTAACTATCACTGAAGATGACACTTGAACAAACATGAATTGGCAATTTGGTTCAGCCATGGTATGAGCTGGTTAACACAGTGGTAACGCACACGCCTTCTATGCGATAAGTCCGGAGTCCAAATCCCGGACGGGACGGTGGATATGCACTACTGATGAGCTCTGATAAGAGCGAAACTCGAGTCTAGAGCTTCCGAGTCTATTGTTGAATCGATGAACTGAGGATTGTGCGTGAAGGTAAAGTCCGAAGGATAGGCAATTCAAATCAATAAATAGTCATTTTGTTCTCGCAGTATTTTCTGCGATGGGGCTGGCAATCTGCAACCGATGAAACCCGGCTAAAACAGCAGTACGTATTCAATGTCGCGTTGTTGTTGTATCATTAGAATTTTTTCGGTGAACCACATTGAAATTGGATTTTTTTTAGCAAATGGACAGTTGAAACAATTGAATATGCCTAAAATTTCACTTTGCACCCAAGCAATTTTCTTAGAACTTTCCTACTGTTTTTTATGTGTAATTACCTGCCAGGAGAAGCTTGATTTTCACGTAAGAATTCTCACGGTATCAATTTGAAATGGATTGGGATCGATCGCCACGTTGGGAAAACGCTGGGTCCATGAGAGCCCGGGTAACGGACAAAATAGGATAATCCGATTTGTCCATTCCCTCCCTCGGTGCTCTCGTGATTTCCAATTCTGAAGAATCTAGACTGCGCAACCCTATAAATGTTCTCCATTAGTCTACGCACTTTTTATGGCGCTACCATTGAACACTCACACTGACGCAATTGTCTTTTGACTAAAATCATCGGGAAACCTCTCGTGGAACAAGATTCCATGATAAACTGACAGGCACAACATTGCCAGTATATCGTTCTGTCTTCTGACTTGAGCAGAATGTAACGTTCAGCTCACTTTGTTCCATGAAGTGTAATTCCTTTTGATGACATTTCTGGTTATTAGGGTTGCTAATTTCTCTAAGTTGCCTGTCAACGTAATGATTCCCATGAGAACGACGTTATCGACT